TGATGACATCATGTACAGGCAAATTGATGGGATCTCCATGGGTTCCCCCTTGGGACCCATTTTAGCTAATATCTTTGTAGGCTTCCATGAAGAGATTTTATTAAGAGATGCTAATAGGCCTGGTGTTTATTTTCCTTATGTAGATGAGACTTTGTGTCTCTTTAATAATGGGAATGAAGCGGATCTCTTTTATATGTCCCTTAACAACATTAATCTAAGATAAGGAAACTAATTCTTATCTTCCTTTTCTTGATGTCCTAATTTTTAGAGATTCTTCGGGTTTTCTTATTTCGGTTTACCGAAATCCGACGTTTAACGGTCTATACACCTGTTGAGACTCTTCTTGTCCCATAAAACAAAAACTAAATTTAATTAAAACACTTACACGCAAAAATCATGATCTCACCTTCCAACTTAGATTCAGAACAGATCATTATCTGTTCTGAAACTAAGTTGGTGAAAGGGATCAAGATTTTTACTACTACTTTCTATAACAATGTTTATCCATTGGACATTTTTCAATACATCTTTAAGAATAAAATTTTGAAATTACGTCTGCTTCTGTACAGAGATATCCAATATGCCTACGTCTTCTTTGGCTAGACAACATCAGTGACAGAGGTGTATTCGGCAGTCCGACAATGCTATTTTGCTGCTAATACATGTCCTGTCTTTTTCTACTAAATCATATCCTTGCATCTATGCGAAAAGGCATTCTTCCACTCACCATAATAGTTCCTTATTTATTCATTTAAATGTAGTTGCAGTTCGCACTAAGTAGAAAGAACGACTCAAAGGCTAGATGTTAGGTTTAGGCAATACGTCCCTACAAAAATCCGAAATTCTAATTATTTACCTTCACTTGTTCTGATTAACACATACGGGTCTTCTGTGCTGTTAATTTTAGTGTTGACTCTTTTTCCATCTTGAGTAAATCCCACTCCAAGTACGAATTGAATATTTAGAAGGCCATATACATTCAAAGTAAGAAATATTCACTTTGTAAGCAGAAATATTTAATATTTGTCCCCCAAGTGGTTTCCATGTATTTATTCTTCGCATTTGTCATTCCATTTTATTGATAATTCATACCAATATATTGACATCAATTTAGTTCTGTTGAGCGAGGTTCGAAACCGGTTAGCTGGCCCATTTGACTTTTTTCTATTTGTCCATCATGTCTAATAATATTAAAAATAAAAGTTCTGTCTTTTTTAGGGTGATTATCTCTCTATCTCTCTATCTCTCTCTCTCTCTCTCTCTCTCTATATATATATATATATATATATATATATATATATATATATATATATATATATAAACACGTTATTTTCAATCAACTTCATCACTGGACAAGACACCACAAGACTTGTAACTTACCCGTTAAAATAAATTATAATTTATAATCATTTCTATGATGCGTTAAGCTTTTACCCTTAATGGATATCATATTGCCCTTTATTTTATACATTGACCTCTTTTTATGGATTCATCTGTTTATTATTTCATATTAAAAAACCTACTTGCATTATTCTTTTTCACTTCCGGATTTAATTATATATATATATATATATATATATATATATATATATATATATATATATATATATATATATATATATATATATATATAATCAGTTTTAAGGTATTTATGGCTAAAATGATCAGGGATAAAGCATATGTAAATGAAATCAACACTGAGATGGCTGAAGACTACTTTCAAGCATGAACAGAATTTCGATCCCGACGGTGATCTCAGTATGCTGTTAACTCAATTGAAAAAGCAAATTTGAAAATCGAACAAGTGTATAACTACCTCCTAATCCAAATTCATCAAATAAAAAGTAGCTTTACCTAGTTACTGAATGAAGAAAAATATTGCTCGTAAGTTTGTTGAAGAATTCATCTGTATTCATAACAAATTGCCAGGACGACTGCTTCTAAGTTACTAATAAATTTATTGATCATCTGGATTTGACGCCAAAGATCTTTTCCTAAAGAGAAACCACATAACTAATTGGTTGCAATTTGCTAAAAAATATAAAAAATCTACCACTGCCGACTGAAAAAAATTCTGGACAGACGAAAAAAATTGAACTGATTATGTATAATTTAATGATGAGGAGAATGGAGGTCGGCAATACGCGTAGTGAGTTATTCAATCCATGAAGCAAACTGGAGGCAGTTTTTTTTCTGATAGTTTCTCCAAATATTTTGGAAAGTTTTAAACTCAGAAAAAGTGTCATGTTAATTTTAACATCAGGTTAAACTCAGCATAGTTATTTAGCGCAGCAAAAAAATAATTAAATTAAAAAAGAACTTTCTAGAAACACATTATTAGTCCATTGCAATAGTATTTGGGGTCAACATCATTGTTTTAATCTTGAACCCAAATACAAACTAAAAGTTGTGCTTCTAGACAGTAAATATATTTAAATAAATTGATTTTCTTACATCCTATCGCAATTAGCCAAGATCAAACCCAACACACTCTACCTTTAATAAGCGGGTTTGAATTTTAATAATCGTCCAGATCAGGGGTCGCAACCTTTTGCTATGTGCCGACTTAGGGTTTTAAAAATCATTCAGTGTGCCAACAGCATACGTATTTTTTTTTATACAAGTCAAGGTCAATATAGCTATTCTACAATATATTTTATATAGTAATATATTACGTTATGTTAAAACTGAAACAGCTCAATATTTTCTTTGTGTTGTAGTAGCTATTTTCAGTGTCATTTGCGGTTGTGTGCCATTGGAAATTGTTGGCGAACCGCGTGCGGCACGCGTGCTGTAGGTTGCCGATCACGTGTCCAAATATTTAAACTTCTTGAAGGCCTCAATAAACGTGAAATTTAAAAAAATATGTTTAAAAAATAAAGCTGAATAAAGATTCAGTTGTTTCTGTCGTTTATGAAAAAAGACACAAACTTTTATTATTTGCAAATGAAATGCCACTCGTATATATAATTAAATTACACAGATATGTAAACTCACTCACAGACACCCGGGGGAATAGAAACTCAGCAGACAAAGTAAACTTCCGTAGACTGTAGCAATTTGTCTGCCAAAAGAATTAATATTTAGTTTTCAATCAGATAAAAAGAAAAATGCCCACATCGTCTTAAAGTATTTCAGTATCAACCGCTTAAAAAAAGAATACCCTCCACACACATACTCAGATTGCAGCCCTTCAACTTTTACAATTACTTTTTTATTTTATTTTAGATGCAGTAAAATATGTGGATTATCACTCCTTCGTTCCTATAAAATGGAGCTGTTCCCGCTCCCGTTCCTTGTACAAACGGATCACCTCCACACTTGGCTCCAGTAAAAAAATAAAGCATGTTCCAGGAGCACACTCCTTTCAGGAACGCTCCTTAAGGCACTGCATCTATGTAAGATCATCACTTACGTGAGCCAAGAGGATATAGAACGCGATGACTACTGACCAAATGAACAGACTGTTGTAGCCAGCTATCATGTGCCAACGAGAAATATATCCCAATAATCACAGACGTTGAAAACGAAAATAAGCTGCATTTTTCCAATGTCAGTTACAATACAATATAAAGCAAATTTATTAGTTAAACCAATATCCTGACCTTTATAATTTGGACATGACTTTGCCAGTTTCCAATACTTCTTTTGTTTGTTTTTGCGATTATGAAAGCAAATAGAATCTTCAGAAGTAGAATAAGTACCTTTTCATTATCAATAAAAAGAAAGAGAATATGAAACGACAGCTTTTTTCGCCTTCTAAAAGGTCTAATGATATTCTCTTGTGTGAATGTCAAGGATTTTCTTCTTTGTTCTTTGTAAATGCCTGGGTCACATACGTAATACCTGATGAAGTATGGAGAAAATATCTTGTCTGAAACGTTGTGATTAATACATAGCAGATAAGAAAGAACACAAGTGTCATTAAAACTTAATAATAGCTCATCTCAGAAATCAGGGTCAGTATTAAATGCTTGCTTGATCATTGAACCTGCTGGGGAATAAGACATTTGTGATTGATGTTTGAGACTCGATTCTACTTGACCCAGGAGCTACTGCTGAAAAGTTCAAGTGCCTATAAAAGACATTAGCTCGAAGAAATGAACGTGAAATAACAAATAGAATGAATTGTGAGTATCGGATGAGGATCTAATCTTTATCTGACTTTGTTTCCCTGCAACAAGACAACCATTAATAACAATTGTTACCCGCTCTGAACTGTTTTGTATCATGACATGCGCAGTCAGTTTAAGTGGCCAATATGTGCGAAAAAAGAATGAGATAAAATACTAGGAAAGAGGAGGAGAAAGAAATATGGATTTTAGAGGGAAGATCTAATCCCGATTCGTTTAAAATGATCATTTGTAGTAATAGCCATTAATTATAAACACACAAACCAATCCCAGTTTGAATACATTTGTGCAAACGCAGTCTTAAATTCAAATGACTAACTAATGACAGACTAATCAAAATTAAAAGCCGTTTTCTTTTTTATTAATTTGTATATATTTCGTAATTAATGGATTGATTATTCCTTGAAAGGCAGCCATCTAACGAAAGTAAGCGGAAGTTATCGACAAAAGACGGAAATAGCCGGGAACGTCGGAAGGAAATGATGTTTATAAATAAAGAGGAACTATTTTTTTCGCACTGTTCATTTTTTTAGAAATATTTCCCATAATTCTCCATTACTTGCTTTTCCTTTAACATTTTTGTTTTTGAGTTGCATTAACAATCAATCCTTGAGGTGATTATTCTCCTTATCCTATTTTTTCTAATGCTATTATATTGCCTGCTCCCTTTTCGTTCTATTAGCGTGCTTCCATTTTTGTCGATAATCACTGTTTGGGACGAGTGATAATATACCACCCTTTTTTATTACATTATGTGAAATTTTTTTTTTTTTTTTCGCCTTCTTTTCTAACCTTTGACTTCTCTTTTTCATTATCCTCTTTTTCTTTTCTTTTTTGATTTTCATTTTAATCTTTTTATTTCCTCTGATGTTTTTGTCTTCTTTTCCGGCTTTTCTATATTGTTTCTCGCCTATATTTTCTATTTCCTCTCTTTTTCATTCATACTTTCCTCTTTCCTCGCCTCTTATTTTCCTCATTTCTCCTCAGTTTTTATTCATTTTCCTTCTTCTTGTTTTCTACCATCGCCCCACAGCACTTTGACAAACATTGCTTTTGTTTTAAATCTCGTTTTATTTTAAGAATTTATTTCCCAACATTTCCTTCTATTTCCTACTTAGCTACCATTTTTCCCTTCCCTTTTTTTCTAATCCTTTCCTTTTTAGTTTCTTTTTTGATATTGTTAATGTTTCAATTTCATCTTTTCTTTTTTGTTATTTTTCTTTCTATTTTATGGTCATTACCTTAGTCATCATTGAAGTTTTCGCTACTGTTTTTTTTTCTTTCTTTAATATTCTTTTTTTTTCTATCTCTTCTGTTTTCGTATTCTTTTTTATATTTCTCTTTTTATTATCCTTATTCCTATCTGCCGCCTTCTTTACTTTATTATAATAATTATTAATTACCTCCCTTATTATTCGTCTTAATTTCAGACTTCTTGTTTGTCGATATTATTATTTGTAACAGTAATGGTAGTATCAGCGGTAGTAACACTCATCTCAACAAATTTATTCCTGTGTTTAATGCATTTTTTTAGCTTCCTCTTTTTTCTCGTGGATCATTTCCTCATCTTTTCTTTCTTCATTTCTTTTTTTTATTTCACTTTTCGTTATAACTTCTCTCTTCAATCTCTTCCTCTCTTTATTTTCATTATTTTATTCCCGCTGAAACGACTTTTTTCGATTCCTTAATGTTCTTTTCTTCCCTCTCTCTCTCTCTCTCTCTTTTTGTTCCTAAATTTATTTCTATTACACGTCTTTTTGTCTTCTCCTTCCTCTCATCACCAATTTCGCCATCCTCTTAACGGGGCGTCTTTTGTCTGCGATTCCATTAGTCAATTTATTGTTTTCTCCCGATTGTCTCCTTTCCTTTCACTTCTGATTCATGGCGTCCTGCAGATTTAATCAATGTTGTCAAGCCTCTGAATATGGACAACAATTTTAATTTTGTGTCCAGATCCGATTTTCCCTGCCCAATGTCTTCCAATTTTGCTGAATCTAATGTTGTTGAAATGCAATCAAAATGTCCAGCAAATTCTACAAAGACATAAACAAAAAATTAATAATATATTTTCTCTATATCAACATTTGGTATTTTCAGATTAAATCAACAGATTAGAAGCGCGTAAAACTCTTTAGAGGGATTTTAAAAAATTAGACATAGACATAGACATCAGAACATATCATCATTTGATTGTCTTACCGTAAAGCGTCAGTGGTCACGTAACAGATTATTATTACATTATGCACTTGATCTGTCTTTTACCCTATATGTGTGGTGAGGTGCTGCTAAGCGTCATAAATACACCATCGCTCTTAAGTGTTGAGTTTTCCAAGTCCTCCTTTGTCCTTATGCAGCAAAAAAACTTCAACTGTATTTTTTCCCTGATTCTGAGTAAAGTGTTCTTTCCGCTGCCATTTTAGAGACATCCGTGTTGCTGCGTTTAGTTTGCTTTCCAGTATATCAACATCAATGTGTTATTTAATGCCGACAAGATTTTTATTACTAGTAATATTTTTCCAAATATGTATTGCTGCTAATATTTTTTTCCAAAAAATATATTGCTGGTAATATTTTTCCTTCAAACATTCATTACTGGTAATATTTTTACAAAAATATACTGTTGGTATTAAAACCTATTTTTACACTTTTATAGTGTTTTAACCCAGGTTTGAGAGATTAACTATTTGCCCATAGCTATGATCATAACAGTTGCCTCTACCTCGGGTCAGAGAGGACTTGGGAACACCAGCAATTAAAATTCCACGCTCCTCAAAATCTGATCAAAGGCCTTGCTGTTGGATGTAGTTTATAGTCTTACCCAGGACGTGGATGTATTTTATCGTCATACCCAGGACGACATACTTGTGGCCTATTCGTTCCGTCCATGGAATGTTCAATATTCTTGTGTAGAACAACATTTCTCCTTTTCCCTGGGCATATTGTCTAGCATTCACTACCATATAAGAAGATGGATATTATATAGCAATCCAGAAATATTGTCTTTGTTTCTAACGAAATTTGTCCGTTTTGCAGCAAATCACGTAGCTCTTGGCGTGTTTCTTTTTCTTGTCCAATGTTTATTTGGATCTTGGTGTAGCATTTACCAGCCTCTGTTTAAACACTTCCCCCGTATGTAAACTTAAGCTAATTAATGTTATAATCTCCAATTTGTAACTAGCACTTGGGCACATTTCTCTTGGTGATGACTATACATTTTTGTCTTCTTGAAATTGAGGGTTGGTCCTTTCTCCTCGCTTTCAAGTATTACCATGTCTAGTAGGCCCTTGTCAACCATAACATTCAATAATTTCAATTCAGCGTCAATCGTGATTTTTGTTTTCTTGAATGCTTTTCTCGTTATTGTCCTTTTGTCCTCAGTAAAGTTTTCTCCTTCTTAGTAACCGCCAGGGTTTTTGTATCTTTATTGCCGTATTTAGGAAGAAAATATAGCAGTATACATTATTAATATTTAATCGTACGCCCTTAATTATTTCTTTCTAAACGTATAGGAAACATTTTTGATAGCAATCTATCTATCTTGTTATCCATTTCTCACTTGGAAAGTTTTCTCTTTCACTTTTTGTAACCTCTAGGATTTTTGTATCTTTATCGCCTTGGGATGAATGTATATCAATATGCATAATTAATATTTAATCGTCCGCACTTAATTATGTTTTCCTAGACATAGAGCAACAGTTTCTGATAGTTAACATCTCTATCTATTTATATCAGTATGTTCATATTTTTCTATTTAGCTATCTATTATATATACATGCCAAATTGAGTTAGCACAGGGAAGAGAATCAACAAAACAGATCGGAAACTGTTTGTGTACTATTCGAACTAATGTCTTGAAGATCGAATGCAAATCACCCGTTAAGAAAAGTTTTGGCTCATCTATAACGTAAGTGCATCACTGCCGGATCCAGCCGGCTAACCATTATCTAAGTATTAAATTAAGAATTAATGCCTTGACAAAAACACATCATTCATGGGACTATTTAATAGTCGTACATTTGTTTTCCTTACCTGTCGTTAATGATCTTGTGAAGCTAAAATCCAGAAATTCGAAAGAATTTCTCACCTTAGGAGTACTGTAGATTATCGTGATTGCAATTAAATCTTGTGATTTTCATAAGATGTGAAATTTTATATTATTGGCTTAGTAATGTTTGTATGTAATATTTTATATCACATGAGATTTTGTAATTTGGCTATGTTTATATGGATTCAATACTTGTATTTTTTTCCATTTCAGGTAAGTTTCCTGTTCTGACTAATTTTTGTCTTGAAGAAACTTTGATGCGGAAGGTTAGTCCAGCTTGATTCATTTCTACATGTGAAAATATTTTATTAAAAAATGGCAGCAATATTGAATTAAATTTTTAATTGGATTCAACTCATAAAATCTCTTACTTGCTCTTTTTCTGGTTCATATTACATACTCCCTGAATATAAGATGAAACGAATGATATTATTCTCACAAGGCAGAAATGAAACAGAAGAATACCTTATACAGACATGGGCAACTTTCTTTATAATGGAGAACTCGAGTAACGGGGATATTCGCTCATCTCTACGAAGTGGACTATTCTAACGACGTTTTAGATACATACACACATATAAGCATCCGGTTTGACACCTTGAAGTGGAGTAATGTTTAGTAAGTTTCTCTCGCTAGATCTATTATGACAGGGTAGTGTGTTCGATCATGACTAGTTCCACACATTCAGTTTTGTGTCATATTTTGTATATATGCATGGATAATTTATTTTATATGATAGACAAGGAAATCTTTATAAGGTATTTCTGAAGTTTTTCTACTTAAATATTTCTTGGGAGGCTAAGGGGGTGTAGAAACTCTCTGTTGTGATTAGCGTCCGCCAGTACTTTCGGACAATTCGTTAACCATTTTCAAGTGGATCATTGTGCTTATCTTCTATTAGGCGTGTAATCGAGCCTCTAGAATATTCGCTTTCTGGCCATGGTCGAATTGTCAAGAGGATGATTTCTATATTTCAGCATATGGAGAAGGCGATTCCATTGGAAGGCAACATTGGTAAGTGAGTAAAAATCATACGGCGGGTTGATCCAAGCCTTGTGAATAATATTGGTTAGACGGAATTTTTCGTCGATTGTTGTGCTAACACGAAATCACAAGTCATCCAGACCGAGGGTTTGAACGAACTGGCCTTCTTGATCATGGCCAGATGATGCATTTTCTCCCATAAATTGTAATTACGGTCTACTCAGCATTGTTGCAGGGAGTATCCGTGAGTATTGAAAAAAGACAAGTGTACCTGAGCTGGCATCTGCAACAGAGACATTTGGCTACGAGTCGCTGGTCATTATATTGTAAATTGAATTGCGTGGGAGTAAAACTAATTCTAAGCTGTGCTAGATGTTGTGGTAGTTCCATATTAGGTGTGTCATTAAACGTTTCTGCCGTTGGCAAATAGGTAAGGCTGAAAGTGATCTTAAAATATTTAATATAAAAAGCTTCTATTATCTTTAAATCTTTTACAATAGTACTTCTTTAGTATTTCGGTGTTATCTACAATTTTTCTTCTAATGGAGATGGATAGTGGTGTGTAAAAATCTAAGTGATTTTCATGGTGTTTAGATCATTTAAGTGGTTTGTCATTCTTCGACTTACTGTCGCCGACGTGTATCTGATGTACGTATTTGGAGAAGCTGTTTTCTACGGACTTATGAATGTGATAAAACTACATTCTCGACATTCGTTTTGATAGGCGTGTCACTATTGGTGATTATGAGACTGGCAGCCTTTCATTTTATATAGTACGTTGTAAGTTTTACAGGTTTGATGAGGTCAACAGGTGAAATGTATTGTTTAATGATGCGTTGCATGTCGAATTAGTCTTGCTTATAATGTTTGTGCTTCTAGTTACATTAAAGACAATGTTTCATTTTACTATATTTTTAGTGGTGGTGCCGTATAATTTCGGCAGGAATTATTTGATTTTGTTGTCAATTATGTAGATGAGGAGATTATTATTAACTAATATTTGCCTTATATTTTTGAGTTAGCTATAAATTTTTGCCGCTAAGAGAAAGTGAGTCTTTCTCTATTTAGGAATTCATTTATTAATGTATTTTATATCTTTTATATCTCTATATGTATTCATTATTATAAGGTAAGAGGCAGAAACACTTATACTTGAAATTTATTGTATATAAGGAGTTAGCCTTAAATGCTTTAGAGTTAAGGCATATTTCATATATATATATATATATATATATATATATTAAATTTATATTAAAATTGTGTTTGATATTCTTTAAATAATAATAATTTTGCTATGTCTTTTGACATAGAGCTCTCCCTGAACTATATATCCTCCTGGAAATTCCATACGATTTACAAA